CTGCCATTACATTGGCAGTGGCTTTTAAAAGCTTGTTTCCACTTGTAAGTAGAGGTGGCACAGCTCAGTGGTAAGAAGGTTACTTACAATGGTGCTTTTTCAGCCAATAGTGAAAGGGAGAGTCCCCTGCTCCTGTTTGATCATGAGATAATTTTATGTTCCAGTCCTGTCAAGGCACCTTGGGAAATCTATCTAAGGTGGGCCTTTTAGTTAAATCAGGACTTGGTTCTGTTGCCTATATTTCCTTTTCCAGTTTTGGATATGGACCAATGTCTTTGGGGATCAGGGATCTAATGAAAGTTATTGAAATTATTCCCCTCATCTAGGTCTTGCTCCTTCAAATACATTTGTGGCCCCACAGCCTGTGGTAGTAGCCAGCCCAGCAAAATTGCAGGCAGCAGCTGCCCTGACAGAAGTTGCTAATGGGATTGAACCAGCTCCAGTGGTAAGAAAAAAATATTGGTAGGAATTTATGGAATGAGTTTACAAGTTTTCCAAAGTTTATCTTGAATTATCCATTCTTTGCTAGAAACCAGAGCCTCCCACACAGCTTCCAAAAGTGATTGTGAAGAAGGAAAATCAATGGTTTGATGTGGGTATTGTCAAGGCAACCAACATGGTGGTGACACACTACTTCCTGCCGCCTGATGATGCACCTGCTACAGATGTGAGTGGAAAAATATACTATAATCACCTTAATTTCACCTTAAAGGTCCAAATTTTTTCTGCCATGTATCTTCTTATCCATTCCCATAATATCAAGATAATTGTGATGTCTTATTTCCACTCTCTTCTGTCCTCTGCAGGATGATTCAGGAACCACTCCTGATTATTCTCAATTCAAGAAGCAGGAGCTGCAGCCTGGTACTGCTTATAAGTTCCGAGTAGCAGGAATTAATGCCTGCGGACGAGGCCCTTTCAGTGAAATCTCAGCATTCAAGACCTGTTTGCCTGGTTTTCCTGGAGCACCTTGTGCCATTAAAATCAGTAAGGTAAGAGCTTTTTCTGTTTTAAAGTCCTGTTAATTCATCTCCCTTTTTGAGTTGGGGTAATTGAATAATGTTTGTTGCATCTGTTGTCTCCCACTCTTGCTGTAATGCCTTTTGGCTGTCCTGGTTTTCAAGCTCTTCTTGCGTGTTTCTAACACAGAGTCCAGACGGAGCCCACCTGACTTGGGAACCACCTTCAGTCACCTCTGGAAAAATCACAGAATACTCGGTGTACCTAGCCATCCAGAGTCCCCAGGCGGGTGAACCTAAGACCGCAGCACCTGCCCAGCTGGCCTTCATGCGGGTTTACTGTGGGCCCAGTCCTTCGTGCCTGGTCCAGTCTGCTAGTCTCTCCAATGCCCATATAGACTACACCACAAAGCCTGCCATTATTTTCCGCATTGCTGCCCGCAACGAGAAGGGCTATGGTCCTGCCACACAAGTTCGGTGGCTTCAAGGTGAGTGGCGGCTGTGATGAGACGTTGGAGGGAGGAATGTAGCTTCAGGCCACATATGAGTGGGAAGACGTTCTTTAAATTAAACCTTCAACAAGATGAGGAGCTGCTATCAGGTCTCTGACTCTTATAAATAGCTGCACACCATTCACTTTCCCATCTTCAGCCTTGGTTTGCAACTGAAGAAAATCTGCCATGCTGCCTCTCAGATCCAGGTTGGATATTTGTGTTGATGTTTCTGTTAGTAGGAGGGGGGGTATACGTAAATAGGAAGGTCTCATTCAGAGTTCTAGATTTTTATTTTATTGAATTTAGTCAATAAGAATTGATGGATTTGTGAGATATTTCTATCAAGTTCCTAGTCGGGAATATGTATGTCTGGATTTCCTAATATGTGAATCTCACCATCTAGAGTGAAAATGTTTTTTCAGCCCCAGCTACAGTATAAATGGCTTGGCGATAGGATTACTGAGTTTAATAGTAGAGACAAGCTCAGCAAGCCAAATTGTAATAATATCACTAAAGGACTGAATGTCAGAATAAAATTACTCATTTTTTTTCACATCAGCATTTGATTGTATTTTATTTCTTGTTTTATCCCTTATGATTGATAAAGGAATAAAGGATATATATTTCACATTCCTATAATGATTCACCTTGATTCAGGCAATGTTTTATCTTTCCCTTCAGTGTGTGTAATACACTTTTGTCTTTACAGAATCCAGTAAAGATGGATCTATGACAAAACCAACTAACAAGCGGCCGCTTTCATCTTCTGATCTGTGAGTATTGATTGGCGGAGCAAGCAATTATTTCAGCCTTCGTGTTTCCTTTGTGGAGTTGTGGAGGGTTATGGAAGGAAATCTGTGTATATCCCCAGTCATTTTGGGAGAAAAAATACCTCATGAATTTTTCTTTGTGTTCATCAGAATATCTTGGGTCAGCCCTAGATTGAATAAAGGGTTAAGTTACTTTGTTGTCTATGTAGAGTGGGACAGGGACTTCCAGCCAGAATAGAATTTCTCCTATAAGCAGCCTAGCAAATCAAGGATGCTGCAGCAAATTCTCTACAGAAGTATTGCTAAAGTTACAGCTGTGGAACTCAGCTGTGTGAAGCCAAGAGGCAGTTTGATGTAGTATTTAAGGTACTAGCCTAGAAGCCAGAAGACTGAATTCTAGGCCACCTTTATGCATGAAAGCTGACTGGATGACTTTGGGCTAGTCCAGTGATGGCGAACCTTTTAGAGACCGAGTGCCCAAACTGCAACCCAAAACCCACTTATTTATCACCGGGTGCCAGGTGGGCGTGGCTGTGGCAGTCGTGGCAGATTGGGTGGGTGTGGCCAAAGTGGGCGTGGTCACCTCAATGTTGCTCGTGGGGAGTGACACCTGTGGGGGCCAGGCAGGGTTGGGGGAGATCAAGGGGGTTTCTGGCAGGTGGGACGATGGGCAGGAGGTTTGTCCTGTGGGGTGAGGCGAGCCAGGGTGGGGGTGCCATTGTCACAGGGCAAGGCAAGGCAGGGGCCGGGACGGCTACTGCCTGACACCATCAGCCCCCTGAACACAGAGGCCAGAGAGCGCATGGGTGCTGGGATACATCCAGCCATATGGGACCTCGGCAAGTTAGCGGGCAGCTGGTTGAAGAGGGATGGTTGCCATCTCCAGGGCATGGCGTGCGTGCCCACAGAGAGGGCTCTGAGTGCCGCCTCTGGCACGCATGCCATAGGTTCGCCACCACTGGGCTAGTCACTCTCTCAGCCCAGGCTATCTCACAAGGTGGTTATTATGGGTGAAATAGGAGGAGGAAGGAGCATTAGATATATTCACCACTTTGAGTTGTATATAAAAAAGGTGGGATGAGGATTAAAAAGTTGGTTGCTTGCTAGTACTGATGGGAGTGGACAATTCCAGGGAATGAAAATTTGAATTCTGTCAGTACTCCGGGCAAGAAGAGCATCGCATTCATGGCCAAGCAGGAAGTTGGACCTTATTGTTCTTTTTCATCTTCCAGGAAAAGTGCTCCAAAGAAGCCCAAAGCAGATGGGCAGTGAAGGGAGTCACCAGCCGTCCCCTCTTCCTGCCTGCTCCACAGCCTCTGCCTGAACTCCCCCAGCCAGCCAGTCACCCCGTGTATGGCGAAGATGGAACTGCCAAAAGCACATTTCATACACCTTGGGATGAACTGTTGGGGTGGGGGGGGGGTGGGGGAGAAGAGACGCTGAGGCTCATGTGAGGGACCCCCAAGCAGGGCCATCACTGTGCCATACCCCAGCCTAGGAAGAGGGAAGAAGGAATGGAATTCCTCCCTCACCCTCTGCTTACTGCCCCAGTGACATGGACATTGATGTTTGGGGTGGGCTTGAGGGAAAACTTGTTATGGGGGGGAGGGGGGCTGTTGGGTTTTTTTACAAGTTGCAGTTACAGGAATGAAGTTCTTTTGTATTCCCCTGAATCCTGTGTGTTGGGGGTAGGAGACTTGATCTCCCTGCCTCCGGTTCTTGCCTCTGTACAGACCCTCTTCCTCAGTTTAGTTTTTAGTGTCTGCGTTTGGTAATGGAGAGAAGTCCTTGCTAGTGGGGATTGAGAAGATGTGACATGGTTGGCCACAGATGCAGCTACTTTGAACATTGGAGGGAAGGGGCTCATGCTACAGCAGCTGTTCTAATGCTCAGCGCAGGATGTTTGTGGCTTGAATCCACCCCTTTTTCCCCCTGTACATGGAACAGCCCCTCCTTAGCAGCACAACCTGGGTTTGTTTTCTCTCTTTGCTCTTCCTGCCTCCAGGCCACAAGGTGGCATGCTATAGGCAGATTGTCTTGCCATTCCTCTCCATTGTTTTGTATAAAACCTTTTTTTAGGATAAAATGATTTGGGAGGGAGAATGTAGCTGATCCACCAGGCTTTTGGGTCAGAGCAAGGCTGGAGGGCAATATTCTTGATGGTTGACATACAACTCTCCACTGTACGGGGTAGGAGTTTAGGTTTCTCTCTCTATAGAAATATATGCCCCCCTCCCCTTTTCCCCTATTGGTTGTCTTGGGACATTCCACATAGGGGAGGTGGGGAAAGCAACAGGGCTTTGTAGAGTTGGGGGATCTCTATGGAACACGAATGAAATGCTCCCCCCAGGCGCACTGTTTGCTGTGTTGAGATTGGTAGACAAACTAGCCCTCAGAAAATATCCCCATGAGCAAACCTCTCCCTCCCTTGCTCAGTACCCTGGTCTTTTGTATTATAGTATATTTCGCTGTGTCCCACTTTCCTGTTCAGTCCCTAAGATTCCTTCTGTCCTTCCTATATTTGACCTGATTTATTTTCCACTGAGACAGGAACAGCCCTCATAGGAGTTTACCCTGGCTATCCACCCTGACCCCCCCCCCCACTCCCCTTAGTGCTGCGTATCTGTCGTTTTTGTGCTATTTTGAACAATTAAAGACTTTTTTTTGGAAACAAGACTTGATGTTTGGGAAAAGAGCTCTTTCCCTCATCTTCTCCCTTCAGAGTGTTTGTGGTCAAATTTTCTATAGCCTTTTTTCTTTATGAAAGGACTAGATAATGCCTGTTTTCTGTCACTGAAAAGTCTCAGATTGAGATTTATTTCCATATGTTTGGATGAAGACTATCCAACACCCAATCTAGGTTCTTCAGTTACAAGGATCTCCCTTCCAGAAGGCCACAAATCTTATCACAGGATCCAGCTACCAAAGTGACAGGCTGCAGGGTTGGCAGACTCTTGTTACTGCCCAATGGGCTAACTTCCTGTTCTTGTTCATTGCATCGTGTCAAAGATCTGTAGTGAAAAATAAATCCTCCCATCTGCATTAGTGCTTATCAGCAGCCACACCTTTCCCGGTGTGTCCCTTCTGGCGGCCTGGTCTCTAGGTGAACAGAGTTGAGCTGTGGCTCTTCGGGTACCTTGCGCTGAAATGAAACAAAGTGATCAGCACAAGTGAGAAAAGGTCTGATATGGAGCAACTTGCTGGAAAGCACTGCCCTGATAAAGGAATTGCTTCTTATCACAAAGAGTGTAGTCTTAAAAGCAGGGGTAACGCCTATTGTAGCTGGAGGCAGCCTATTCTCCAAGGCGCCTGAAGGCAGGGCAAGAAGCAACGGGCGGAAACTGATCAAGGAGAGAAGCAACTTAGAACTAAGGAGAAACTTCCTGACAGTTAGAACAATTAACCAGTGGAACAACCTGCCTCCAGAAGCGGTGAATGCTCCAACACTGGAAGTTTTTAAGAAGAGACTGGACAGCCATTTGTCTGAAATGGTGTAGGGTTCCTGCCTGGGCAGGGGGTTGGACTCGATGACCTCCAAGGTCCCTTCCAACTTTATTATT